GGGGATGTAAGGGAGATATAGGTTTTATATTTGTAGATATTTGTAAACTAGAGGTTATAGAGGTTGAATTGTAGATAGTGACCTTGCCAACTAGGAAGCGTGCTGGAGGTGTTTTGGTAAACACTGGGTGCTTTGCACTCAGTAGCTGTCTGGTCAATAAATAGGCCACCTGAGGTAGAGAAAGGGGTCAGTTGCCCGGGGCAAGGTGCCCAGGAGAGTTGGGTGAGTACTGGTTTCTCTATCTTGGGGTTAGGCCCTGTAGTCGGGGGTTTGTACGGGAAGTTTTGATTTAAGGGGACTGTAAGTTAGTTGGGGTTTCGTGTTTTGTTTTGAAGGAATTCTTTTGGGGATTAATACTTTGATTTGATTAGATTACAAGGGAATAGTTTCACTTCGTTTTGGGTATTATAAATCTAAGATTCAAGCTACCTCCAGAGCGGTTCTTACCAGGTATTTGTTAGTAGGCTATACTTAAGAGTAACTGTCACTGTATTAAAGCTTGATTACTTTAGACAAATTAAAATCCTATTTGATGAACACAATCTGATTCTCTTATTGAACAGCTACCCAGCTCATAGCATAAAGTAGAATAAGTTTAAAGATTCGGGTTTGCTATAAAGCTACGCTCCCATGTGCGTATGCAGAATAACCTATGAAAAGCGAGGGGGTTTTCTGCATATCACAATGCTATCAGCTATTTATTTATCTACTGCATTCAAAAGTCAACAGCTGATCATATGTCTTTGTTTATGTGTCAAATACTGATTCCATAAGGATTACATTGAAACTTTGAGACCCAGTGGGGCGGATTCCTGAGAGACTTTTTTAACGCCATATAGATGTTGGCACTCACCGATATGGTCTTTATTACCATGCAAAATTTGAAAACGATTGATTCAGCCGTCTAGGAGGAGTTTGCGTATTACGAAATGCATAAAAGTCGATGTATAAGAGCTTCGCTCGCTCCGCTCAATAAAATCTTAAATTTTAAGCTTATTTTATGAGTAAAACAACTCTGCCACAGCAAACCTGCAGACTCAGCAAATTTCCATTTAATTGGATGTTTTATTAATTGTATTTAAATAAAATTAGATTCAAAAGGTACCTAGGTTTGCTGCTACAGGTAGGTTATTATAGTGTGTGATTTGTTTAGTAAAATATCAATAACTTAGTATAAAAAAAATTATTGTTTTTAAGTTTGATCATAATAAATCTATAAACATACAAACTGCAACAGTTAACTAATCCATAATAATAGCATGGTAGCTTAAGATTTACAATTTACAAATTTAAATATACAAATATTGGTTGTGTTTACTAAAAATATGGCGATTATTTGTCACAATTCGAATACTAACCGAAGGGGTTTTCAAACAAGTAAATTAAGTACTGTAATATTAACTCGTACCAAGTATCGGAAATATTGTATGCAGTGAGGTAACCAACCATATTTTGTAAACTACGCAATAGTCATATTAATATTTTATACTCATTTTTACCCATTTAATAAATTAACATTTTAATATTTTGATGGCACTACCACTATCAACTAAGTGGGATGAATAATTGTCGTAAACCTTGAAAGTAACCGTCAATTGCGATGGGTCTCACCGATTTTTGATAAATAAAACTAACTATACTTAGTCACCAACATGAACCAGACACGAAAAACACCCTTCCAAATTTACAATGGGATGTCAAGTATAGTTAGTTAGTGTGGTGGTGCTATCAAAATACTAAAATGTTAACTATTAAATGGGTAAAAAATTAAGATAAAATATTAATATGACTATTGCGTACTTTACAAAATATGGTAGATTAATATTTTCGGTGCTTGGTACGAATTAATATTACTTAAATAACAGGCTCCATCTCCTTTTGAAAACGCATTTGGTTAATATTCTAATCGTGACGGATAATCACCATCTTTTTAGTAAACACAACCAAAATTTGTATATTTAAATTTGTTTATTGTAAATTTAAAACTCCCATGCTATTCTTATGAATTAGTTAACTGTTGCAGTTTGCTTGTTTATAGATATATTTTGATCAAACTTGGAAAATTAGTTATTTTATACTAAGGTATTGATATTTTACTTAAAATAAAACACACTATAATAACCTACCTGTAGCAGCAAACCTAGGTACCTGTTGAACCTAATTTTATTTATATACATTTTTAATAAAACATCCAATCAAATGGAAATTTGCTGAGTCTGCAGGTTTGCTGTGGCAGAGTTGTTTTACTCATAAAATAAGCTTAAATTTTAAGATTTTATAGTATCACACTATTTAACTAAATGGGATAAATTATCATAATCCTTTAAAGTAACGGTCAATTTCCATGTGTTTCACCTATTTTTGATAAATGGAAAAAACTAAATATAATACTTAATAACAAATAACTCAAAAACCGTTGGGTTTAGAGAAAGATGGTAAATACAAAAAATCTGTATTTTTAGATGACCTACATTTTGTATGTTTAGCTTTTTCCTGTATCTCTAATAATAAAGTCACTATATTGAAAAATACAGAAATATGCCGCCATTTTCCAATATGGCGGCTGTAGCACAGCTTCAATTTTAGGGGACTTTTAGTATGTTCAAAAGGAAGGTACACCTAACATCTGTACCAAATTCCCCGGTTGTGCTAATTTTTTTTTGTCAAAACATATTTTTATTATACTAAGAATCAAGTAGGCTACTTTAAAAACAAACTTATCAAAACTTTTAGTTTAAACTAAAAAAAGTAATTTACAGAATTTACAACAAATGAAGCAACAATTATGAAGATATAATTACCCACTATACCTCCTTTCACTAATACCCCTCCCCTGAATTAATCGGGTCTGGTTCACGACTTGCACACGCTCCGCTACCACAATCACTCTTACGCTCTGCGAAGTCAAACGGCACTCGTGCCTACCTGACGGGGTTTGACAGTGTATGACCCTCACGACTTGCACACTCTCCGCTACCCAATCACTCTTACGCTCTGCGAAATCAAACGGCACTCGTGCCTACCTGACGGGGTTTGACAGTGTATGACCCTCACGACTTGCACACGCTCCGCTACCCCAATTACTCTTACGCTCTGCGAAGTCAAACGGCACTCGTGCCTACCTGACGGGTTTTGACAGTGTATGACCCTCACGACTTGCACACTCTCCGCTACCCCAATCACTCTTACGCTCTGCGAAGTCAAACAGCACTCGTGTCTACCCGACGGGTTTTGACAGTGTATGACCCTCACGAGTTGCACACTCTCCGCTACCCAATCACTCTTACGCTCTGCGAAGTCAAACGGCACTCGTGCCTACCTGACGGGTTTTTGACAGTGTATGACCCTCACGACCGACTTGCACACTCTCCGCTACCCAATCACTCTTACGCTCTGCGAAGTCAAACGGCAGTCGTGCCTACCTGACGGGTTTTTGACAGTGTATGACCCTCACGACCGACTTGCACACTCTCCGCTACCCAATCACTCTTACGCTCTGCGAAGTCAAACGGCAGTCGTGCCTACCTGACGGGTTTTTGACAGTGTATGACCCTCACGACCGACTTGCACACTCTCCGCTACCCAATCACTCTTACGCTCTGCGAAGTCAAACGGCAGTCGTGCCTACCTTACGGGTTTTTGACAGTGTATGACCCTCACGACCGACTTGCACACTCTCCGCTACCCAATCACTCTTACGCTCTGCGAAGTCAAACGGCAGTCGTGCCTACCTGACGGGTTTTTGACAGTGTATGACCCTCACGACCGTCTTGCACACTCTCCACTTCCCCTTCTGGGTTGCTCGCACAACTCTCGGTATGTCAACGACAATTCTCCACCGCACCTTATTGTTTTTTTTTTGTCATATTTGAGCGGCTAATCACAACGAAAGCCCAGAGAACACGAGAAGGACATGCGAGACGAGGGACTTCCTTTTGAAAAAGATCCATAAAATAAATTAACAAATAAATTTGTTAACATAATCATGTAAAGTTCGTAGGGTAGAGAAAACCACTACTGTAAAGGTATTGTATGATGACAAGCTGTTATTTATTCGTCACCTTTTATTTAATCAACCAAGATATACGTGGAAGGTAAATGACGCTCTGAGGTTTATCTCCCCCCGTTTGCGCGGTTTATGTGCCGACCTCGAGTGTAGTGTTAACATATAAACTACACACCCTGTCAGTAATCAACCGAAGCGAAGGGCTAATGGACTTTTCCTTGTCTCCATAAGTCTCACACGTACATTTTATATTTAAAGTTGTTTTTTTTCTCCTCAAGAGTCCTTGGAGGCTGGTGGCCATCTTGGTTTAATTTCAAACAGCCACTGAAGATTTATTTACCATCTAAAAATATTTTTCAAATACCAAATATCTAGGGCAGAGTGAAATTAGAAATTTGCATTTTAGTTTTATGACTGTTTTATCATTTGAAACAGCCCAATGACTCTTACCAATAAGCGCATATCAATACACTTCAACGTTTCAATGTATTTTTTTTAATCTCTACAAAATGGTGTTGAAAGAAATTGCAAAATGTTAAGATTTTTTGTTAAAAATGGGAATACCCAATGCTTACCACCATAAAGACCCCCATCACCCCATTCGCATTGTCAGATTATACTGGTTCACGAATTTGTTTGAATTATTGTAGATTTACGGGGTTATACAAAATTTCATCCTAATCGGATATTTTTATTCGAGTAAAGAGTAACGGACACAAATACATATAATATATCTATATAATATAAATTTGAACGGATGGTGTTTTAGGCCTCTAGGGACGTCAAAACGAAAGAATAAATCGGCCCGGGTCTAAGTCATACCACGAGACCTTCAGCTAATAGCTTATTCCCTATAAAGGAAGTTCGCTAAAAATAATATGTTGATATTTGAAACTGAAAAAACTGTCATCTTTATAAAAAAAATATAAAAGCTTAATTTAAGAATTAATGCTCTGTAAAATATATTTCAAATATATTAAAAACCATAACCTACCTATATATTTCTTTCCCGCATCGTAATCCTTGATAATCTCGTTACACTCGTCCATTGCTATGTATCTCAGATCATTGCCATAATATGTGTCACACCACCATTTCCCTGCATTAAGGAACTTAATAAGGTATAATGGCATGCCGTAAAAATCTCTCTTGTCCACATTGATATATTCGCACACATTTTCTACGTCTTGATGCAACTTTTTCTTATTCTCTAGGTTGCTTAAGATGACATTTTCAACCTCGTAGACTCCTACGAATTTGGGATCTCTAAAGGTAAGTACATTACCAATTTGATTTAGCCAGTTGTTCGTGTTCTTCTGTGTATGAACTTCTATACGCACCCCTAAGTTGTTACTCCCAATTGTAAGAGCTGTGAACTTGGCGATGAATTTGAAAATCGTGTTCTTGTTCTTACACACTTCTACAGAGTCTTCGATGTATGCAAGTTTTGCTCGACTAAGTTCATTCGTCCCCTTGACAACTGCAATAAAAATGAAATATATGGCTTGTGTATATACAGGGTGATTTGTACTCAGTGTGACAAAATTGTTTTGGTGTAAGTACAAAGTAAATGGAGTGTGATGATGCATATCAAATGTTCCAAGTCTAAAAATTAGCTTCACAAAAAATTATTTTATGTTTTTCAAAAATAACCATGCTTTTAAACTTAATACAGCGATTTCTCAATTACCTGTATATTGATTTGAGTAAATAATGTCATTTTCGTGTTCTATATTAAATTTTGAACAAGAATAATAGAAAATAACGGAGGTTCAGTTGTAAAAACTCCATTGTAAATAGATTCAAAGATAGAAATTAAGATGTGTGATAAAAATTTTAAAAACAATGGTCTATTGCAATTTCCACACCCTGTATACAAGAAAGTGTCGGAATATGTTAAAAACTGCGCCATTTTATAAGCTTTCCAACCTTATGTGTGAAGTTTGGTGCAGATCCGTCAAAAGGGCTCTGCCCCAGTGGCTCTCGAGTTTCCCATGTTAACGTTATGAGTACTCATATTTAAAGGGAATTAAAGAATCTCAACAGCTGGTTCAACTAAGCAATTTTATTCTGTGACTAGCTGTGTGCCCGTTCTACGCACAGGGATCTTATAGTAGTCAGTTGAAACCTTCTTATATTAAGATTAAGAACAGCAATTAGTTTGCATATTTGCAGATATGCTGGCAAAACTATTATATTATAAACCTTCGCAAATACAGTATCTGACAGTTCAAGCCAAAATAAATGCTTCGCAATTAAATGTCAAGCGGATCGTGTTGGTCCATATGTCCAATGATTAAACTAAAAAATGTTTTATAGATCCATGAAGCGTAGCCCTAAAGTAGGCCTATAATTGAAAGTTACTTTCCACATCGGTTAACTTAAACGTATTTAAAGTACTACCTCAACCTCACCATTTAACACTTTATTCCGGTTGACATTTTCAGTATCAAAGGTGCTCTTGTCCATTCCGTGAAACACTGAGAAATAAGGACATTAATGCGTTACCAACATACAACAAAACAACACAATACAACAATCCAACAAAGGCCACGAACTATTGATACATAAACAATATAAAGGCGTAAACAATTCATGATGGTTTGCCCAAAAAATGTTTTACTCAAATAGGTTATCATTTTCTTAGCATACCGGGTAAGCTAAGATTTGGAATCCAGACAGAAAAAGCAAAACTTATACAGAGTTAAGACATCACTGAAATTGAATACGGACGGCTCTAATAAATAAGGTGCAACACCAACGATATCAAATTTGTAAACTACCGGTTCTAAGGAAAAGAACCAGTACCTACGTAAGAACCTACCTAAGAACTATAGTAAATCGGACCAATTAAATACATTAATATCTAGTCCCGATGTTATTGATCTCGTGCTTTTGGATTTTCTCGTAAAAAGTTATAGTGTAAACTTATCGGTGTCAGTTTGAAAAAAAAGCAACCGTACCCAAACAACGTTTTGTTATTTAATAGAATACGCATTCTCTAAACAATGATCTATTAACATTAGAAGGAAATTTGACGAAAATCACACAATGTTGGGGTTTTGGTCATTTGTAATTTTATTTTTTAAGTAGGTAGGCCATGCATTCTATGGAAAAGTACCGGTATCAAGGATCGTCGTCAAAAAGGTTGTTATGAATAAATATGTAGGCTTACGTACCCAAGATATGAGTTATGGGCCTATTGGCTGTATGGTCCAGCGATTGCATCACACGGTGAGTAGAAACAGAAAGTGACACATTGGAAAAGCGAGTTTAGCACTTCCTCTGTTAAACCTCTGTTACAATCACCCACTGCAGTTGTGATTTTTTACTTTACACTTTACACAACCGCCATTGAAGCGCCGTCAATGAGTGGAAACATTTTTTGTAAGCTATTGGCAACGATCATTTCAGTGTCCAGCCCTATACAACACTGATTCGAGGTCTTCTTCTTTCTGGTTGTCAAAACTCAAGAAACATTTTATACTCAAAGAATTTCTGGTTCCGATTTGGACGATGTCTAGTTATTTAATTTCATTTACGGTTACACTATTGGACTATATTATTGCACTTGCGATTAATTAAATCCGTTATGTAAGAAAAACGTTTTTAATCTCACTTGGTTGGGATTTGCTTTCAAAACGTGATTCGAAATAGTTGCGGTATTTGTAAACAACATTTGTAAACATGTCATTGACAGCTAGAAAAAATAATCTTGATCCGAACAGCTGTTCGTTATTTCATAGACGATTATGTGATAAAAATTGGACGAAAATTTGACAAAAATCGCACAAAACTGCATTTTTGAACGTCCGTAATTTTATTTACAAAGTAGTGAGGCTATATTTAAATCACTAAAGACACTCTCGCCAATCTAGTGAATACATTAAAATGACTTGGATCTTGATATGTACTCTGGTTTTCACGGAGAAGATTGCGTAAAATGCCATCTTGAGTGTTACAGACAAAGGGACAGACAGACAGACAGAAATTGAGATAAGACTCGTTTCTGCTTCTTTAATGTATAAAACGTAAAAATAACCTAAAAGTATATAATTCTGAGCAATGTACAGACAAAACTCTAATTTTATTTATATAGATGTTCAATAGAATTCAAAAGTTAATAGGTTTACCAACAGGATGCAGCACGATTTTTTTTAATTTATGACAACAGCTAATTTGCAACCAAAAGGTGAGTGAGCGTAGCGAACGAACTTCAACCTGGAGGCGAGTTAGCGTAGCGAACGAGCTAACCTGAAGGCAAGTGAGCGCAGCGAACGAGCTCCAACGTAAAGGTGAGTGAGCGTAGCGAACGAACTTCAACTAGGATCTTGAAAATGAACAAGCATTTGACATAAACCCACATTAGGACAGGACGACGTCTGTCGGGCCAGCTAGTTACTGATAAAAATAAACTGTTTCAGTAATCTGACACTTACTTTCTCCCACTAGCTTGCAATAGGATTTCGGTCCGTGGTACGAACGCTATTTTTCATCACACTATACCTTATTACCACTATTCACCACAATAATAATGCACACTGATAGTCAACACAACTACAACTTTAAGGTTATGTGAAGAAATAATTTGGAAATCAGCAAAAATAATAATAAATATTTGTTAGGCAGTGGTGACAATAAAACAATTCTATTGCAATGCTATGGATATTTATTGTGTATTTAATATGCATTCATGTTTTGAAAAAGTAAGCGGGCAGCTGATTTTGCGGCCCTAGAGATGTAAAAACCTGATTTCCGTTACTTTATAAGGTTTATGAGAAAATCACATAAAATAATGAAATGAAATGAAAAATGTCTTTATTTAAGAGGCGAAGTTAGGACTTGCAAGTCCTCTCTACCACTTAACCTCTACCTACTGCTCAATATAATAGATTTAATCTTTGCCCCAAACCTCGCACGGTTTCCTATGGATTTGATATGGCCAGGAAGAGAATGCCACATTCGAATTGCAGATACCAAGAAGGATTTGTTAAAAACTGTTGACCGGTGAATTGGTGTAGATAAAAGGTGAGAGCCTCTACGAGTGGCACGGGTGCTGATGTCAGAAATAAAATGGAAGTTGTCTGATAAATAAAATACAATAACTTTTGAACTTCAATTTTTACAGCAATTAATGAGCTAATTAACTTTTGTTGAGTTAAAAGGACTAAACTAATTGTTTTTGTGAGAATCAAATTATATCAAATAAAATATGCTTTATGGCCGTATAAAACACAGTAACTGCATGGCTTGAGTTACATTATTCAAATACCTAAATAAAATACAACATTGCACATTAGTAACAAACCCCTACTACCTATTTATAACAGAATAAAAACAGTTTTCTATTTTAAATATTTTAAGTTTTCGTTTGAATACATTGGTGTCACTTATTTATTGACTTGAGCTTGTCGGGCAGGGAGTTGAACAATATTGTGGCATTATAAAACACACCACATGGCGATTAAAGAAGGAAGTTTTATGGTGTGGAACATTTAAATCGGTTCTTTTTCTAGTAATTTAAATTGGAGTGAGGAATTAAAGGTAAAAAAGCTATGGTTTTGCTTTGAAAATATTAAAGAATCTATATAAATAAAATTAGAGTTTTGTCTGTACATTGCTCAGAATCATAAATTTTTAGGTCAGAAGCCGAAAAAAGTCTCATCTAAATTTCTGTCTGTCTGTCTTTCTGTAACACTCAAGATGGCATTTTACGCAATCTTCCCCAGGAAAACGAGAATACCTATCTAGATCCAAGCCACTTTAATGTATTCACTGGATTGGTGAGAGTGTCCTTAGCCATAAAAATATGGCCTCACTAATTTGTAAATAAAATTAAGGACGTTCAAAAATGCAGTTTTGTGCGATTTTTGTCAAGTTTTCGTCCTATTTTTATCACATAGTCATCTATAAAATAACGAACAGCTGTTCGGATCAAGATTATTTCTTCTAACTGTCACTGATATGTTTACAAATGTTGTTTACAAATACCGCAACCATTTCCGATCACGTTTTGAAGGCAAGTCCCATCCAAGTGAGATTAAAAACGTGTTTCTTACATAAAGGATTTAATTAACCGCAAGTGGAATAATATAGTGTAACCGTAAATTAAATAACTAGGCATCATCCAGGTCAGGAACCAGAGATTCTTTGTGTATAAAATTGTTCTTCAGTTTTGATAACCAGAAAGAAGACTTAAATTTAATAATGATCGTCGCCAATAGCTTAGAAACAATGTTTCCACTCATTGACGGTGCTTCAATGGCGGTTGTGTAAAGTGTAAAGTAAAAATTACAACTGCAGTGGGTGATTGAAACAGAGGTTTACGGATGATGCTAAACTCGATTTTCCAATGTGTCACTTTCTGTTCCTACCATGGACTATATACATATATGGTCAATAGTTCCTACTCACCGTGTGATGCAATCGCTGGACCATACAGCCAATAGGCCCGTAGCCCATCTCTTGGGTACGTACGCC